TTCTTTCTAGAAAACTAAAAAATTAGTTTGTCTGTTTTTCAACCATTTAGAAATTTATCCAGACATAGGAACAAAGAACACTTACTCTGAGGACATTCTTGTAGATTCCTTTTTCAAACAGAAGAGAAAAAGAGATAAAGTTTCTTTTTTTTATATTTACTGTTAAAATCTAGTAAAACAAACTGAAAATTTCAAATATCAAAAACTTTTGTTATTTGTTCCGAGAAAAGAATATATCTATTAAAGTTGCTTTAAATAGTTTAACTCGTAAATCCACCGAAAGTAATAATTATTCGTTTGGTCTTGTGTATTTGGCCTTGATCTTGCATATTCGGTTTTGGTTTTAGTATTGTTCTTGTTTGTTCGGTCTGTTGCTCTTAGTCTTGCTAGTATAAAGACTGTCTTGGTATTGGTTTTAGGTTACATTTTCACATGACCAAAATCAAGACTGCAAGATTAACACCAATTTTATTCATCACTACCTATAGGAGAAGATGGTTAAAGGTACTTGTACGAATTTTCCTATCTATATCATGTTTTTCAAAAGATATTGCCGCCCTTTCATGATCTTATTCAATTCTGTTTAATAAGGTTGTTAATTTTTCCCTCCTTTACTATTTTTGAACCTCTCCACCTGTTAAGTAGGAGTTAATTGTTATACATATTATTTTCAGTATTCGTAAATCATCGTCTTAATAACATTTACAGTTAATAATATTTAAGTAACGTTCATTCAGATATTTATTTCGTTTCATCATTTTTATTTTGTACGTTTCAATAATTCATCTTCAAAACGAATCTTTATACCTAGAAATTGTCACTGACTTTCTAAATTCCTGAATATTAATTTTTATGATACTGCCCGCTACCTGCAAGGGGACAGTTCTTACAACCAGGGTCGCTTGACGCTCTGATTTATCAACCCCCTCTAAATTTTTGTAGTTAGTAAGTAACATCCAGTATTTGTATGACTTCGATTTAAGTTGTTCAACAGTAAACACACTTTGTAGTTATCCTTACCATCATCATAGTTTTGTACCTTTGAGTCAAATTCTTCGTATTGTAAATATATTTATTAAGATTTAATATCCAACGTGTTTTTATCCTCCACCAAGAAAAGTTGAGTGTCGTTAACTAAATTCGAGTTTTGACATTCAAACGCAATCTAACA